AAGTTAGCTCACTTTTGCTCACCTAGCTCACAGTTATCATTCTCAGCTGTAAACTTCTAATGTGTCTTCCGTCTTTTCTTTTAAATGGAGGACTTAATTAGGACCTTAAGATCTTACATAGAGAAGATCTTTGCAACTTGAAAAACACCCACCACAATATTTTGCTTCATCCTCCTTTTTCTCTTCTCCTGTGTTCATTCCCCTAGACTCTTTCCTATCATCTTCTTCTCCTTTCACTGCTTTTCTTTGTGGCTCTTTTTAAGACTCAGAGAAAACTCTCAGATGACTCCGGGTTCCGGAGATTGCCCTAATTAAATCATGAGCCTTGGTCCAAGCTTCAAAAGAATTTAAAAGATTTATTAGGTGCAACGTATCAGCATTAACCTAAATGACGCCAACTCTGGAATACGTAGTTTACAGTCCCCATGTGACCCTGTTTCTCCCCCACCTTCTGCCCTGGGTGTGTTATAAATCAGATTCTCCAATTGTGCATGTTCACAGGCTGGGTGTCATCAATCACGTTCTCCAATGAAGGATTTTTGTGGGCAGAAGTTCTGGTAGACTAGCTACAAACTTTGTAAGATAAGCGTGGAATGTACTTCTGGTTTTCAACTGCCATACTGCTCCTTCAGATTCCTTCCCTCCTTATTTCTGGCAACTCGAAAACAGGCATAAGAATGTTTTACGAGGTGACATCAAGATCCTCCCCTGATCTCCTGCTTTGGTGCCTTCTCCTTGCATCCTGGGTCAATGTCATGTTCTCCTCCATTGGTCTTTCTCCAGTGAGGTCTAATCTCCATAAACGGGTTTGTGGCATTTCATGCAAACTGACTTGTTGAACTCTCTTAGCTGAAAAAAAAAATGCATCCATTTTATGTATAGTTTCAAATTCTTAACCATCTGTTGGATGGATTCCTTTTCTATGAAGGGATGTTCTTTAAAATGTGAAAGGCAGATTCACAGAGTGTAATCCTGCACTAAGAATTTGGCTCCTGCGTATCTTCACTCACCACCTTCTTCTGTGTCTTACACATTCATTTCAATGGGTGTGAAAACGGTGGTGAACCAACCCTTTTCCCTCTTGAGACCTGAAACAACGTATTTTAAGTGGACTGATATATTAGGTGAGATGAGCCAGACCTAAAAACAAAGAAACAAACACCCTTGATTAAATCCAACAGGGTAATATTGTGTTACAATATGTTCCAAGTTAAACTGATTACGGGCTTGTTCGTTCAATGCCAGTGAATGCTGGATAACTTTAAGCCATTCCTGACAATCATCGATAGATCATTTTAAAAACCCAGTTTCAGTGTGGAGGCTCCAACCTTTGGCCTATCCTATTCATTGTGTTCAGGCATGACAGGTGGTCTAGGGTCGGCGATGAAGCTAAGAAGTGCCTATTTTAAACCCAACAGGCAGAATTGGAGGCTGGCTCATTCAAGGTGGTAGAACTTCCAAGGATTTGACAAGATAGTTTGCGAGGCAGTTGACATGAATCAGAATCAGATCAGAATTCTTTATTGGCCAAGTGTGGTTGGAGACACAAGGAATTTGTCTTGGTGCAAATGCTCTCGGTGTACATAAAAGATACATTTGTCAAGAGTCAAGAATCATAAGGTCCATCACTTAATAATAGTCATAGGATACAATAAGCAATCAAATCATACTAGGAAACAGTCAATATAGATCGTAAGGATACAAGCGACAAAGTTACAGTCATACAGTCGCAAGTTGGAGGGGATGGGTGATAAAAAGTGATGAGAAGATGAACAGTAATAGTAGTGCGGACTTTGTAATAGTTGAACAGTGTTGAGGGAATTATTTGTTTAGCAGAGTGATGGCATTAGGGAAAAAACCGTCCTTGTGTCTAGTTGTTGTGGTGTGCAGTGCTCAATAGCGTCGTTTTGAGGGTAGGAGTTGGAACAGTTTATGTCCAGGATGTAAGGGGTCTGTAAATATTTTCGCAACCCTCTTTGTGACTCGTGCTGTATACAGGTCCTCGATTGAAGGCAGGTGGATAGTAATTGTTTTTTCTGCAGTCCTAATTCTCCTCTGAAGTCCGTGTCTGTCTTGTTGGGTTGCAGAACCAAACCAGACAGTTCTAGAGGTGCAGATGATAGACTCAATAATTCCTCTGTAGAATGTGAATTCTCCTCTTTAGACCTTCTGCAGAGCAGCTGGAGGGAAAAAAAAAAGGGACCGTATCATTATTTTGATAGTCAAAAGCCATCTTCAGCTGGGGAAATTTTGAAGTTCAGTTTAGTGGGCCACCAGAGACAAAATCAAGTTGGAAATGAGGGTAGTCCTCATGAAGAGTGTGCAGAACATTTTGAGTTTAAATCCCAAAGGTACTTTTTTTTTTTTTCAAGAGGCAATTGGGATTCCTTGTTTTTCTTTGAAGACGTTTTGGTTCTCATCCAAGAAGCTTCTTCAGCTCTGAAGAAGAAGAGCTGAAGAAGCTTCTTGGATGAAAATGGAAACATCTTCCAAGAAAAACAAGGAAGATCAGTTGCCTCTTGAAAAAAGCACATTTGGGATAACCATGACTTGGATGACTGAGAATCTCCATGAGTTTAGAACCCAGAATGGTGTGCTTAGAACAGGTTCTTCTGACCATCACGTGAGACTTTCAAGAAGAGATTGGACTGCCATTTGTCAGAAATGGTGTAGGGTCTCCCGCTTGGGTGGGGGTTGGACTAGATGACCTACAAGGTTCCTTCCAACTCTGATTATCTGTTTATCTGACCATTGCTGAAGAATTTTGGGCTTGGAAGAACCTCATTTAGAGCTAAACTAGTTAACCAGCTAGTTAAGGGCCTGGAGAATAGAGTTCCTGATAGTTTTCCAACGTCAAAAGTGTTGTATTTCAACAGCTCCTGTATTGTAGCGGACTTCCTGCCTTCTGCCCTAATCTAAAAAATATCTGAGCAGTGCCAGGGAAAAAAAATCACTTTGATGAGATAGTTAATCAAAATGACTCACAATACAAGCCAGCAGATTTTTGCTGGAAGCTCCTTGCTTGGCCCTGGGACTGCAGTGAAGCTGGGATCCTATCTGAATTTGTAGAAAGCAGACTGGATTCCAACGATCGGTCGCCTCTCGTGGGGGCCGTGTGTTCTACTTGCCTCTTAAGAAAGATGACGGATCCCTTCCATGCTTGGTGACCTAACAGCTTGATTGACATGGCTGATAATATGATCCACCACATATCCGTGGCAGAGACTGCCCTTTTGGGGGGTAAACGATACCAACTTTTAAGAAAGAGGCCAGATGTAAGATTTTCTTTCCCTTGGACAATGGAGAATGCATTCACGCTGCCCTGCCTGCATTCATCTGAATGCTGCCTTTGATTCTATGGAAATTTGATGAACTCTGGGCGTAACGCCCAAACATTAATCTTTGTGGTTGATCTTACTCCTTGGCAACACGTCAGTCAAAATCCGTTCGGAAGCTTGGAATTGCTTGTCGGGGAAATCTTTGCACAAAAGTGTGTGTGTGTGGCTCCTGGTCTTTCGGCTGTAGAAGAAGCCACGAGGTCCTATTTGAGACAGACACCTTCCTCTTTTCCTTCTTCCATTTGGATGGGCGCGCAAGTAGGCAGGTTTCAGGCCGTGTGGGAAACGGGCAGGGCAAAAAAGAATTACGCGCAGGAGATGCACAAAAGAAAACTCGGGATCCTCACTGTATGCATGGAGAGACTTTGCTCTAGGCTGCGTCCACAGAGGGATGGAAATTAAGATCACGGGAAGTGTTAACCCCACTTTATAACGCCTTGCTTAAGACCACGCTTGGAATGCTGCCTCCGGTTTTGGTCGCCACGATGTAAAAAAGATGTTGAGACTCTAGAAAAGAGCGTAGAGAAGAGCAACAAAGAGGATTAGGGGGCTGGAGGCTAAAACACAGGAAGAACGGTTGCTGCAATTGGGTTTGTCTAGTTTAATGAAAATAAGGACTAGGAGAGACATGGTGGCAGTCTTCCAATATCTGAGGGGTTGCCCCAAAGAAGATGGAGCCAAGCTATTCTCCAAAGCACCTGAGGACAGGACAAGAAGCAATGGGTGGAAGCTAATCGAGGAGAGAAGCAACCTAGAACTGAAGAGAAATTCCCTGACGGTTAGAACAATTAATCAGTGGGACAACTTGCCTCCAAAAGTTGTGAATGCTCCAACCCTGGAAGTTTTTAAGAAGAGATTGGACAACCATTTGTCTGAAGTGGTGTTAGGGATTCCTGCCTAGGCTGTGGGTTGGACTAGACTAGAGGATTCCTAAAGTTCCTTTCACCTCTGTTTATTCTATTCTATTCTATTCTATTCTATTCTATTCTATTCTATTCTATTCTATTCTATTCTATTCTATTCTATTCTAGCCTAGCCTAGCCTAGCCTAGCCTAGCCTAGCCTAGCCTAGCCTAGCCTAGCCTAGCCTAGCCTAGCCTGTTCTTCATTCCATTATTCTCTTCTCTTCTCTTCTCTTCTCTTCTCTTCTCTTCTCTTCTCTTCTCCTCTCTTCTCTTCTCTTCTCTTCTCTTCTCTTCTCTTCTCTTCTCTTCTCTTCTCTTCTCTTCTCTTCTCCTATTCTGCATTCTGTTCTACTCTACTCTATCCTCGCACGTAACTCCACAGTCCATGATTGCCGTGAGTGGATTGCAGGGTGTGATTATGGTCCTAGCCTCATCTCGCTGAATTATTTCTTTCTCATACACCATTTTTTCGAGGGGGTTGGGGCAACGATTTGTTTTACCATTCGGAGTGTGAATTGCCTGGAAAGGATGGCTAAGGAAGGTAGATCAGCAAACCATGTTGTTTTTTTTATAAAAAAAAAACGGGTCTTCATTCATCCAGGTTCTTGTCCCTTTCGTGATGGGCAAAAAAAGCCAAAACTTTTAACACCTTGCATTTGTCTCCTGAAACATCTTATGTTCTTCTCCTATCACAATAATAAAAATAAATAAATAACGGAAGCGTGTTTTTTCCCCTCCGCCTTTTCTTCATCCCGCAGGGTTTTCCGGGTGAGATGGGGGAACGTGGACCACCAGGTATTGATGGAAACCCGGTAAGTTGGCAGAACTTTGTTCTTGTAGGTTTGGGATTGGCTGTTCCCGACCTAGGCTTCCCAAAATCGCAAAGCGGACCCCTCATCCCGACAAAACCCCTTATATTTAGGCTGAAGTGAATTCCTCTCGTTTCTCGCATCCAGCAAAATCCCGGCAAACAGTTTTTCGAGGGTGAATTGCAACCACAGCCCTTATTAGGCTTGGAGAGTTGCCAGGCCGGTAGCTTTCAAACGCCACGCTGTAGCAGAAAATACTTGGCAAGGAGTCACAAGCAAATCTTCACCCTAATTAAATGAACTAATGGTCTCCTGCAAACACCCCTCCCCTCTTTATTCCCTGTGGGAGGGGCCATTCACCGTCCACCTGTAGCTTTATTCCCGAGTTGACCCTTGTTCCTTAACTGTTCCCTTCTCGTGGCAGCTCTGTGCATGCGCACACTGATAACAGGCTCCAGCTGTTCATCTTCCCCACTAATCTGCAACTCCAAAGGCAGCTGATGACTGTCAGACAACCCTGGCCCCATCTCTGCCTCCTACGTAGAGCCCTCATCAGAGCTTTCCCCAGACTCCAGGACTGGCCCATGTTCGTCCCCAACCTCCTCACTGTTTGAGTCTGCCGTCAGCTCCGCTGGCCACTGGTAGGCCATAACATTGGCCTCCTACTTGAACGTATCATCTTCCATTAAGCAGTGCTTCATTAAACAGGGTGTCTCTGTGCTATTGCAATCAAAATGTGCAATCAGAATATTCGTTACATTGATAATAATTCTCTAATCTTACAATAATCAATCAATAATCAATAATCAATCAATAATAATAATCAATAATCAATCTGCATTATAACTCTATTCATTTTTCCCTCTTAACATATCTTCTAATGAAAATATAATATATCTGTATCTATATCTATATCTATAGCTTTTATATATATAAAAGCGAAATACCACTCACGCATCATCACAAAATCTCCAGAACTGTAAAGCCTACAAACTTGAAATTTGGCCTGTATGTTCCTCTCGGCTCCCCACCTGAAAAGAAATCTCTTCCAAATGCAAAACACGAGCAGAGGAGAGGAATTTCAATTTTAGTTTCACAGCACCAAGCAGCTTTAGTACAGAACAGTTGAGCTAAGCCATGCCCAGGCTCCTTGCTGTCTCCTTCTTGCTCACACAGCAAATACTGCTTCAATTTCCAAACAGCCCTCAACTCTCCCACACACTGACAGGACTCTAGCCAGATGAATACTGATGGATGCTGGCAGGCAGAGGCAGAATCCCCCCCTTATTTTCCTCCCTAGTATTAGATATAATAATCTTAATCATATTAATCATCATCATCATATTGTTTACATCTCTATCCTAACGTATATTCTTTATTTCACTAATCTCCATTTATTTCTCACTTCTATTTTTATTCTCCAACCCTCCGCTGGAATGTTTTAAAGAAGAGATTTGGACAACCATTTGTCTGAAATGCTGTAAGGTTTCCTGCCTGAGCAGTGGGGTCAGGCTAGAAGATCTCCAAGGTCCCTTCCAAGTGTTATTCTCTCATAAAAGATTTAGAGTCCAGGTTTCCCTAATGCATGGAGGGCTGTGATTTTCTGATAAGATTGACCTGTATATCTTAACAAACCCATCCAATGGACGGGTCCTTGGAGATCATGGATCCTTGGAGATCAGCCACCTCTGGGGGCCCCAGTTTCCCGTTTCTGCTCAGATGTGTGTAGATATTAATGTAAATATCACCACACACTTTCTCTTTTAGTACACATTTCTTTAATAGAGTTCTTGGCTATGTAAATTCCCCTTCTGCGAGCTTTTAAAAAATGCATTTTCCCCCTCAGGCTAAGCTCACTTTTATTTCAGCCGGCCATTTAAAAAAAAAAAACATACATTCTTTTTCAAATGCATATTTTATAAAGATATAAAAGGTTTATAAAGGATGGCTTTCTCCTTTTTTTAAAAAAAAATGCAGATTTTTGAGTAGAGGGAAAGGGACTCTATTGGATGCCATTTCACGGTATTGTCTCCTGTTCCTCGTGAATTAAAACAACAACAACAAATGCCGGCAGAGGTTTGGGCCGAAGGAAGACGATCAAAAGATAAGAGGTCGAAAATCAAAAGATGGGAGCCTAAGGCTTGGTTGGATTGGGAAGAGCTCAGTTGAGTGGTTGGTTGTGTTCAACTTCATCACTGGAGGCTTTCAAGAAGAGACTAGACTGCCATCTGTCAGAAATGGTGTAGGATCTCCTGCTTGGGTGGGGTGAGGGGGTTGGACTAGATGACCTACAAGGCCCCTTCCAGCTCTATTCTGATTGAGTGATCGAATTTGAAAGCGTGGTAGCCTCCGTTTTGCCATCCAGATGTCTCCAGCTGTTGAGCTTAGAAGCCAGAAGATATTGCTCCCAAAGATAATCCTGGAATTTTTCACATTGAAAAAATTACATTGATAATAATAATAATAATAATAATAATAATAATAATAATAATAATAATTTATTTGCGGTCACAGACCAAAACACAAGTACAACAAAAGAAGAACATGGGAAAATTAGTCACGAACAATTGGTCACCAAAAACTTGACTAAGGGTTACAGCGTTCTCCTCTGATGGTTACAGCTCTTAAGAAAAATTTGGAAACCTGAGAAGTGATGTATGAGGAGCCATCCCCTAGACCAGAGGTCTCATTCTCGCGGCCCGCAGGACGATATCCTGTGGCCCCCACCGTGATATGAAAGTATAATATCACCCAGCCTCTGCCTCCAGCGGCCCCCAGGTAAATTGTGTTTGAGACCCCTGCCCTAGACAATATAAGAACTAATTACTAACATTGAAAAAAAAAATAACAAAGGATATGGATAACTGAATATGATTGACGCAGGCTTTGGAAGCCAGTCAGTTCCACTGAAGGATTTCCATCAGGATTCAAAACCACGCGATCTTCTTGAGATAGGCCTGTCCCAGAGTAGATTTTTTTTCCCCCACACCAACTTCCATGGACGTTTTTCCACCAACCGACCACAGAAGTTAATAATTAGGGTGTGGAGGCCACAAACCTGGATCTGTTCACGGGAGGCCAGATGCTCCCCTGATTTCAAATATAGAACATTCCGTGGGGAACGTAATCTTAAATCAACCACGATGATTTGGAATTTCTGTTCCTTTCCCCAATTTCATAGTTTCCAAAAATCAGATTTTCCCCTGAAACATGCTGGGTTCATTTTTTTTTTTAAAAAAAGGGAATAATCCAACCCAGATCTTGAGGTCACTTTTTGAAAGATTTCTTTGAGAAAACAGGAACTTCTCAGTCAGCTGGAAACTTTGCCTGAACCTTCAGTGGTGAGAATTCTTGGTTTTTTTTCGTGGATTTCCCAGTAAAAACAGAAGGTCTCAGCTTGTTTGAAAAGCAGGGATGATGAAGAAGAAGATGTCCAGTCCCTGAGGGAACAAATTCCAGGAGAGGAACGTTGATAGATCCGAGTCTGAATTTCCAGGAAATACTAGAACATAGAATCATAGGCTGCAAGGGACATCAGAGGTCTTCTAGTCCAACTCCCTGGTCAAGTCAGGAGAACTTATACCACCCTAATCAAATGGTTGTCAGGTCTATTTTTGAAAACCTCCAGTGATAGAGAACACCCAACAGGAGGAAAACTGTTCATCCATCCATCCAACTGTCCATCTATCCTTCCACCCACCAGCCATCTATTTTTCCTTCCATCACCCAACCATCCATCCATGCATCCATCTACCTGTCCATTCATTCACCTGTCCACCCACCGACCCATCCATCCACGCATCCATCATACATACATCCATTCACCCACCCGTCCATCATCCATTCACCCATCCTTCCACCAAACAACCATCCACCCACCCATCCATTCATTCATCCATTCATTCATCTATCCATCCGTCCACTCATCCATGCATCCATTAATGCATCCATCCTTCCACCCACCAGCCATCTATCTATCCTTCCATCATTCAACCACCCATCCACCCATCCATCCACCCATCCATTCATTCACCCACCCATTCACCTGTCCATCCACCCATCCATCACACATCCATCCGTTCAACCACCCATCCATCATCCATCCATCCATCCATCCTTCAATTCATCCACCCTTCCACCCACCAGCCATCTATCCTTCTATCACACAACCATCCACCCATCCATCCATTCACCCATCCATCCATTCATTCATCTATCCACCCGTCCACCCATCCATCCTCCATCCATCCATCCATTCACCCGTCCACCCATCCACCCCAACCCATCCAGAGTTAGCATCTAACCAGCCCTAGCAAGCAAGATACCAACTTTGAGATCATAACGCTCTTCTCTTGAGGGTGGACACAGAAGGTTGGCCACGTCTACTCAGTTTGAGGACAAGGGAGTCATGGATGTTGCTTTTCCCAAGTCCATTCAGGGACCAAACATTTCATTTAAAGCCCACTGCCTATTTCCACTTCTCCTAGAAGATTATGTCCGTGTCAAAGCAATTCCCTCCTTCTCATCCTTGGATTGTATCCATTGAGGTTAACAGTCAAGTAAAAACAGAAACTGGTGGGAACAAGGAGAAAGCGAGATACTTATCAGGCCTTTATTTTCATGGGTTTGATTATCTGGCTTCCTTAAGGTTGTATTCATGCACACACATTCTTTTGCACTTTTTTAAAGGAAGCATTTTCAGAACTTCTTGGACAGCTTTGTTGTTCAAACTTTTCTCTAACGGATGGAGCTTTTTCTATCTACCCCACCCCCCAATATATATATGTATACATATATGTATATATATGTATATATATATATATGTATGTAGTTATGTACATGCGCTCGCTTCCCTAGAGTCACGGATGCCAGTTTCTCCAGCTGAAATCCATCTGTTTTATGTAACTAACCACAATATGTGTTTACATGCAATTTTGTTTTGTGAGAGTGTGTGTGTATGTGTGTCTAAGCATATATTGGATGTAAGGAGTGGAATGACATCGCTCTTCTCTCTCTCTTTATGTTTGAATTCCCTTTCCCTTCCCTCCCCCCCCCCCGCTCGGATAATATAAGGTCTCCTGCCTTGGGGAGGGGGCTGGACTAGAAGACCTCCAAGGTCCCTTCCAACCATATGATTCTATGACCCTTCTCCATTTTCTCCTCCTCCTCTTCCTCCTCCTCCCCTTCTCCTCCTCTTCCCCCTCCCCCTCTTCTTCTTCCCACCTTGAGATCCTTCCCCCTCCCCCTCTTCCTTTCCTCCTCCTCCTCTTCCTCCCCTTCTCCTCCTTCTCCTCCTCTTCCTCTTCCTCCTCCCCCCTCCTCCTCCTCTTCCTCCCCTCCTCCTCCTCTTCTCTTCCTCCTCCTCCTCTTCCTCTTCCTCCTCCTCCCCTTCTCCTCCTCTTCTCTCTCCCCCTCTTCTTCTTCCCACCTTGAGATCCCTCCTCCTTTCCTCCTCCTCCTCCTCCTTTCCTCCCCTTCTCCTCCTCCTCTTCTCCTCCTCTTCCCCCTCCCCCTCTTCTTCCCACCTTGAGATCCTTCCCCCTCCCCCCCTCCTTTCCTCCTCCTCCTCCTCCTCCTCTCCTCCTCCTCCTCCTTCTCCTCCTCTTCCCCCCTCCTCCTCTTTTTCTTCCCCCCTTGAGATCCCTCCCCCCTCCTCTTCCTCCTCCTCCTCCTCTTCCTTCCTCCTCCCCCTTCCTCTCCCCCTTCTCTCCTACTCCTTCCCAGTGGAGGAGCTGGGGGGGAACCACTTTCAGTCTCTTCATCACTTAGCTGGCACGGGTCCGAGCGAGCCATCTGGGCTTTGCAAAGCTCTCCTTGTTGCCGCTGCTGCTGTTCCCGCATTTCTGCTGGCAGGAAGAGCTCCTCCCCGCTCCCCAGCCAACCGGGGACGGTGGGCTCCCGGCTCTCTTCCCACACCTCTTCCCGCAAAGAGCCCACTAACCGAGTTTCATCTTTCTTTCTGTTTAGGGAGACTTAGGAGCTCTTGGTCCCCCTGGAGTCCCCGGCCTTCTTGTAAGTACCGGGAAAAAAAAGTCAGGCGATGCTTTTATCCCCCCCCCCCCCCGCTCTTTTGAAAGAACAATAAAGCTACTATGCATTTATTTAGCAGCTGGGGTGAAAGGAGGAGCTGGTGCAGGACGATAAGCAAAACTGCCTCTCTCCTGAATCAAAGATTAGCCAGGGTAGGTGCCCAGTTCTTGCAAACAGAAGCAAGGCCCTATGACTCCCCTGTATCTGGGCCGCTGCACCGCCATTGGGGGCTTTTTTGTGGGGTGCAGGAGAGAAATTTCCTTTTGGAAGTGCCGAAAATCCATTGCTCCCCTCCCAAAACTTGGGGCTAGGCGTTAGTCCCTCCCGTGAAGCCTTCCCGCGGGCAGGAATTGAACAGGTCAAGCTTCTGACACTTGGTGAGTTGGAAACACACACACACACACACACACACACACACACACACATCCTGTTGTGTGGTCCGGTGTTGTATAAACAATGCTGCGTGGTTTTTTTTTGTTGTTGTTGTTGTTTCTGGAGTGGAGAAAGGGAGAGAGTCTGTCTGGAAGCGGAGTGGAGGTGAAGATCCAAGATAGAGAAAATTGCAGATCGGTCACCATCGCTTTCTGATTAAGGAGCGGAGAGGAGAACCCCAAGGAACAGGAGGCTAAAAATAAATGTCACTTCCAGGCCCGAACTGGGCGACAACAGCTGTATGCTGGATTTGAACTGGAAACCTCACAAATGACAACCTCCAGCCTCGGCGCGTTCCTAAGACTTCGCGATCCATTTGTAGGTTCACAGTCTACCCTTGGTGAGCCCCTCATGGCGGATCCAAGCGGCAGACCATCTTTTGGATGGTTTAACATTAACTCACTGGGTTAGATAAAAGGGACGCGGTGGCTCAGTGGCTAAGACGCTGCGCTTGTCGATTAGACAAGGTCGGCAGTTCAGCGGTTCGACCCCCCAGCACCGCATCATGGAGTGAGCTCCCATGACTGGTCCCAGCTTCTGCTAACCTAGCAGTTTGAAAGCGTGTAAACCATCTGCCCTATACCCAAAATGGCTGTCCAATCTCATCTTGAAAACCTCCAGTGATGAAGCGCCAACAACTTCTGGTGGCAAGCTGTTCCACTGGTTAATTGTTCTCACTGTCAAGAAATTTCCCCTTATTCTAGGTTGCTTCTCTCCTTGATTAGTTGACTATGATTAGTTCATCAGCTATATCGTTCTTCCCAAAATCAAGTGCTCTAACTCAAGCTTTGCATGGATAATCTGAACATCTCCAGAGTGTGTCCCATCTCTCCCTGGAAAATATTTAGACCTTCATCGCCATACTCTCAACCAGTTGAGTTCCCCATATTTCCTCCCCTTGAAGCTGAGTATCCCACTGGCTGTGGTTCAACTTCTATCTTTCCACACGGGCATTCACTATTGTTTGATCAGGCCATGTGCTATAACCTGAGCCCACTTGTTTCTATTCCGGCTAATTCATCCTGGCCAGCTGTGTGAAGCCAACTCTTTTCCAAGAAGGCCTCTGTGAAGAGTTGCACGAAGAAGGGATCTGTTCTTCAGAAGGGTCCAACTCAGTGTACAGCCATGTGATGTGTACAGCCAACTCAGTGTACGCCTTCCAGCCATGTGATGTCCCCGTCAGAGAGTATCCTGTTCCTTCATCCCTACTTGGAGGCAATCTGAGGACTTAGTCGATGTGCTCCAGACTCTGCGAAATTTCTGAATGTCAAAGACAACCTTTCTTGTCTTTGACATTGTCTTGTACATAAATTGCTTCTATGTACGTGAGTGTGTAAAAAAACAAGAGATTGCTTTGGTATTAAATCTGTGGAACTTTGCAGCATTGTTCATACACTGTAGATCCACAAAAGGGCCATTGCTTTGTAGCGTGAGACAACCTACAATCGACCTAGGTTTCCACCTCCAAAAGATTTATCCTAGAAAATAAAGGGAAGAGGTAGCTCTTGAAGGCACCAGAAGGTGTTTCTGGCTATCTTCCAACCTAAACCTCTTCTCTCTCACCAGGGTGATGTAGGTGTTCTTGGAGAAATGGGGTTCCCTGGACCAAAAGGACTAAAGGTGAGTAGAAGAAGTCCTTTTTCTCAGTAGACTCCAGATCTCCTCTTCAGGAGAACTTCAGGAGAACTTCAAGAGACTCAGCGGTTGAACCACATAAATAATAGGAGTGATAACCTGAAGAGGAATAGCAAGGGAAATCCAGGGCTACTTTTAGCAAGGATGACCTACATTCCAATGTCATGTTTCCAAAATCCAGCCTACCAGTTTTAATTTTGGTGGTGTTCCAGGCCAGCTGGTTAGATCTGAACTTTCCCCATGATTAGATGAAAGCCTTTTCCTCTTTTAAGTTTCCTTCCTTGTGGAAGGAGGACTTCCAGAAAGAAGGTTATACGAGATTCTTTCTCTGTTTTTTTTCAAATCAGGGGTTGATGGGAAATCCAGGAGAACATGGACTGAAAGGTGATAAGGTGATCTGAATATTCCCTTATTGTTTGTTGTGATTTCTTTGCATGCCGAAGCTTGTTGTCGTCCCATAGTTCTCTTCTCTTCTCTTCTCTTCTCTTCTCTTCTCTTCTCTTCTCTTCTCCTCTCCTCTCTTCTCCTCTCCTCTCCTCTCCCCTTCTCCCTCTCCCTCTCCCCCCCCCTCCTCCTCCTCCTCCTCCTCCTCCTCCTCCTCTCCCCTTAATTGCCCTCCACTTTCTTTCCAGAGCTACAGCACGGAACTGCAAGTTTTCTACAACTAATATACTCTGGACTGTTCAACAACAGTTGGTGGCAAAAATGAGGGGGCGGGCGGAACAGAAGTTTGGGGAGAAAAACCTGGCCTTTACCTCTACAGATGCGTCTACTTGGTTAAGTGGCTCCTGTGGTTGTGGCTGATCAGACAAGTGCAAGCCATGTGGGGAGCCACCAGAGTGTCAACCTCTGGGCTGGGCCAAGCTCAAGATTCTCAGGGCACGCAGAAGTTCTCAGGATACACGGAGGTCTTCTGGAATCCCCTTTGTTCTTGGTTTCCAACCCAATTGGGTTGGAACGGTTGAGGTCAGACATCCTTCCTCCTTCAGCAAGAAGTCCGGGTGGCATCTGAAACTTCCCGTCTTGCTTCAGATGGAGCAAGGCATGGCGATCCGAGACCCGCTCTGTTGCCAGGGGACTCAGCCCGTCTTGAAATATTAACTCAAATCAGATGAAAAGGCTGGATGGTAACTTATTCCATCTGCTGTGTCTTGCTGACTTGCAAAAGCTGGAGGAGGAGGAGGAGGAGGAGGAGGAGGAGGAGGAGGAGGAGGGGGAGGAGGAGGAGGAGGAGGAGGGGGAGGGGGGGGGGGAGGAGGAGGAGGAGAGGAGGAGGAGGAGGAGGAGGAATGTTGTCCACCGGTTGGCGACCGCTGATCTAGAAGTTCTTATAAATCCTGTCCGCATTGCACCTTTCACTGTTGTGCATTTTTGAGGATAAATAACTCCCAAGTTCCATTCTTCCCGGTTAGTCAACCACCTCCACCTTCATTTACTTCTACAAGATTAATGATACCGGTCGGTTGTCCAAAAATCTAAATTCACTAGACAACACATTCTGAAGAAACGCACCTCATGCAACAGCTATGCCAGCCATGCTCTAATCTTGTTTTTGCCACCAATCCTGGTTGTGGAAAGCTCGAAAAAGCATGCCGTTTCCCTCCATCCTCTAAAATCCCTCTTGAACCCTGGACTTGTGTTGTGTTCTTGGTGTGTTATTTGTTGTAACTTTCTTTGGTGATGTATATCCAGGGTGAGGAAGGGATGGCAGGCATTCCTGGAGAAATTGGTTTCCAAGGGGACAAGGTAAATTCAATTATTTTCTTCTCTCTCTTTCTTTTCTTTCTCCCCCTTTTTTCTTTCTTTCTTTTTCCCTTTCCCTTTCTTTCTCTTCTAATCTTTCTTTCTCATTCTCTCTCTCTTTTTCTTTTTCTCCGTCTCTTTCTCTTTTTTTCTTTTCTTTCTCTCTCTCTTTGTCTCTTTCTCTCTCTGTCTCTGTCTCTCTTTTTCTTTCTATCTCTTTCCCTTTCCCTTTCCCTTTCTCTCTCTTCTAATCTTTCTTTCTCACTCTCTCTCTCTTTCTCTTTTTCTCTGTCTCTTTCTCTTTTTCCTTTCTCTCTTTGTCGCTTTATTTCTCTGTCTCTGTCTCTCTTTTTCTTTCTTTCTCTTTCCCTTTCCCTTTCTCTCTCTTCTAATCTTTATTTCTTTCTCATTCTCTCTCTCTTTCTCTTTTTCTTTTTTCTGTCTTTCTGCCTTTGTCTCTTTCTCTCTCTCTCTGTCTCTCCCTCCCCACCCCCCTATCTCTATATAGACCAAGACTTGATTTTATTTGAATGAATAAAAATGATTTAGGATCTCCGGGCGGGAAAGCAAAATCTGCAACGTTACTGAGTCAGATCTTTCGCAGACAATATCAAAGGTTTGATTTGGCAATTGACACAAATAGCCAAGTCAAGATGTAGAACAATTTAACTTGGGAGTGATTAGTCATTTGATGGACAGGAATCAATGGAAGATTGAGAAATAGACCGAAGGCTACGGTTTGTTAAGAGTATATTGGAACCAAGTTAATTTCTTGGATAGGTAGCTTTACCTATTCTGAAGATTTCTGCTCCCTGTTTTAGGGTAGCCAAGGATTGCCTGGGATCCCAGGATTACGAGGAAAACCAGGCCCAATGGTAAGTAATTGCTTGAGTTTCCCTGGAAGGAATTTGTTGTATTGGTTAGAGTGCGGAGAAGAACATTACTGTGGTCCTTCAGATGTTACTTGGATGCAATTCCTATCGGTGGCAGGATTCTACATTTTTTCCTACTGGTTCTATGAGAGCACGCTTTGCGTACTGCAACTGGTACGCCAGACTGGTCCGAACCAGCTGACTACCACCACCGATTCCTATCAACCATCATTACAGCCATTGGTGAGGAAAGTTCTAATTCAACTCCGGGACATCTTGAGGCACCCTTTAAAAATCGATTGTCCTCTTGAATCTCCATGAAAATGTTTCATAGAAAGACGACACAGTGAGGTCTGGACTCAAATTCCCATTGGGCCACAAAGCTTCTAGGGTAAACCTTGGATTGTCATGAGAGTTAAAGAGAAGCCAAAGAGAGAAGAATTGGAAAGCGTGGTCAAATCCACGGGGGAAAAGAGGGTATCAGTGCTTTCAGGTTTGTTAGCAAACACATTGCAACACACCTGGGGGGAAATGGAAATAAATACTGACTGATATCCATAATTGTTTTGTGGAAAGCAAAGAAGACCTTGGATCTTCTTGAAGTACCAATCAGGATAGAGGACCTCATGTCCACTGGACCTCATGGATGCCGCTATGGTGATGTTGGGTTAATCATTAATCCCATGGGTTGTCATGGTAGAGAAAACTGAATAGGGAGTGGTGTGTTGATTGCTTTGATCTTCTGGAGAAGATATAGAATGGAAATCAGATGAATGAATGGATCAATGAATGAATGAATGAATGAATGAATGAATGAATGAATGAATGAATCAACATGGCCAATGGAAAAACTAGGAGATGGTTAGCAATATCTGGAGATATTATCTTCCATATTTCTTCCTAGCTAGATTAGGTCACCCTCAATGGTCACCCATGTGTTTGTTTCCTGCAGGGAAGAGTTGGTGAAAAAGGCCCAGCTGGAATTCCAGGTTCACCTGGCCCAGAGGTAGGTTCTGTCTCCAATTTGGCTTCTTCTTTTAAGGATCTGTATTATTTAGAGATGCGTAAAATATCTGAAGGCTGAGTTATTCCCGATTCTGAATATGCCATTCAAAAGGACCCGCTTGAAGGGTGCTGAAATCAGGATGTTTTGAAATCTTTACACCCTGTTCCTCCTCATCTTCACAAAGGTGAAATATTTCTGCTTTACCACTCTTCTCTCCTGTTCAAGAGGAATATCTACATATTTAGATACTTATATATTTGTCTGTCCGTCTCTGTCTCTCTCGTCTATCTATCCATAAAAAGCTTCATTTCTTGAACTCTTCAGTCACCCGTAGAGGCCATTTTGGTTCACTGAGCAAACTTTTTCAGTAACCCCTTATTCGCCACTCTTCAAAGCAGAGACAGATAACCTAATCAGAACTGGAAGGGACCTTGTAGGACAACTAGTCCAACCCCCTGCCCAAGTAGGAGACCCTACACTATTTCTGACCGATGGCAGTCCAATCTCTTCTTGAAAGTCTCAAGTGATGATGTTCCCACAACTTCCGAAGACAACTTCTGTTCCATGGGTTGATTGCTCTCACAATCAGAAAAGTCCTCCTTATTTCCAGGTTGAATCTCTCCTTGATCAGTTTCCATCCATTGTTCCTTTTCTGGCGTTCTGATGCTTTGGAAAATAACTTGACCCCTTCTTTTCTGTGGCAGCCCCTCAAATATTGGATAACTGCTATCCCGTCTCCCCTGGTCCTTCTTTTCACTAGACTAGCCATGCCCAGTTCCTGCAACCATTCTTCATATGTTTTAGCCTCCAGTCCCCACATCATCCTGGTTGCTCTTCTCTGCACTTTTTCTAGAGTCTCAACCTTTTTTATAGTGTGCTGACCAAAACTGGATGCAGTACTCTAAGTGTGGACTTACTAAGGCCTTACAGAGTGGTATTAGTACCTCATTTGATCTTGATTGTATCTCTCTGTTGATGCAATTTAGGATTGCATTAGCTTTTTTGGCTGCCGTTGCATATGGCTAGTCTGGCTCATATTTAGCTGGTTGTCCACTAAGACTCCAAGATCCCTCTCAAAGTTACTGCTGTTAAGCCTGGTTTCACCCAATCTATATGTGTAATTTTGGTTTTTTTCTTGCTTAAGTGTAGGACTTTACTTTTCTCTACACTGAATTTCATTTTGTTAAATATGGCCCAGACTCAGCACCACGAATGCATGTCTGGGTCCAGACAAACCAAGGTGGAAATTAACGGGGAAGTTGGAAGTCTTCCCAGATGGACTTAACCTGTCAGGCTAATTGCATACAATTCCTTCCCTTTGGAATTTAGCAATTCATGCTTAATTCAGCCAGCTCTGGCTTTTTCAGCAAAATATGATGACAACCCTGGCTTATTGCAATAGATAAATCCAGCCAATTCACAACCTCGCAGTGACTTTCCAAGAGGGCTTCATAGGGTTGCATCACACGGCTAATTTACTCACTTGTAAAATACCTAAAATGTCCTAAAATCAAGTCCAGGTCAATTCCTGGCAGTATCTCCAAGCGGGGTGGGAAAAAAACAACAATGGAGAATTAACAATATCTGAGATAGATGGTGAACTGATCCAACTCTACACAGAGTTATTTCCAAGAATAACGTGTTGTGAATACTGAATTCCATCAAAAGGAATCCAGGGCTATTTAAATATTTGGACCTTGTCAACGATGGTTAAAGTAACATCCTATAAACTTGGCAAGAAAGGTGAGGGAGAGGAATAGGAGAAAGAATTGGTTGGCCTCCATCAGTCATGCACAAAACAAATAAATAAATAAATCATTTGCTTTCTAGTTAAAATAAGAGTTTGAAGAGCTCGTGATGAGATCCTGGAATGAGCCGCAGTGAATGAACGATAACTTTTGGCGTGGCGGTTTTAGTGTTTTGCTTTATTTCTGCTTATCAGCCTATCTAATAACTGTGAAAAATTGGGATGAAGTTAAATAAAAAGCTGGTTTTTTTTAAAAAAACAAACCACACCACCATTCCTTTTTTTTTTCTGATGAAAAACCCTCCCGATTTGTTGGGTTTTTTTCCCCCTTTGGGGATCATTCCATTAATCTGGAGTTCTCTATTTTGTTGGCTAGATAATGATAAAGAGATAAAGATAAAGAGATAAAGAGCCGTCCTGTGGTTTAACAGAGTAACAGAGATTGGAAGGGACCTTGTTGGTCATCTAGTCCACAACACACCCAAGCAAGACACCCTCCAGCATTTCTGAGGGATGGCAGTCCAGGTTTATTTGCAAATAAATCTGTAAATGAGATTTCTGTTGCTCAGATTCTTGGCCGGTATAGTTTTTGGCAAGACTGAAAGACCAGAATAGTGATAGATCATCAGAGAGTAATTCTATCTATACAGCTGCTAAGAGTTGATAAAATCCCTTCCAACTCTGTTAATCTGTAATCTAACATTATTAAGGAATTATGTGATGTAAATGCTAGGAATTGGAGCTTCAGGACATCTGAAGATGGCCATTTGGAGATGGCTATAAAAACTCTGGACCCTGGGTTTGATCAGTGGCTTGAAGAAAGTTCTCCACTGCACGTTTAATATAAGGAACTATCAACTTAGACATAGTGGTTTTATGGCATTCTAAATTATGCAGCCTTGCATTGGTCAAGTTCTTGAGAACATAGTTCAAGGGTGGCTTCCAACGTTTTCAAGCCGTTCATTAAGCTGTTCATTAAGAAAAAAAATCATTTCTGGAGCCCCCGGTTAAGAAGCAAAGCTCAAATGATAGAAAATTAGCTGTGCTGGAGCAAACTCCTGTCATGATCCATCGGCTACTAATGGCATCTGAGGTTCAGCAGAACGTGGCTTTGGAAAAACCCTGACTTTGGAATATGAGTTGGGTGTCCTCTTCAGGTATTTCTCTCTCTGGCCATAATGAGAATATATCTGCTGAACAAAGCTCCACGTTGGTGATAGGAAGGGCAACCGGCCATTAACTGCTGTGCTAGCTCCGATCAGATGTCCAGACAAGGGATTACGGGGCCGTTAAATGGTGATGATGAGTTGGGTGTCCTCTTAGAGCTTTAGGAAAAGGAAGGTGGTCCAGCTCAGCCCAACCTCTCCAGTTCCTAAAGAAAGATTGCTTGTCTAGTTTGGAAGATGGTTGAAGATGTTTGTCCCAAAGGCGCTTTATTTTCCCCCAAGAGGCAACTGGACTTCCTTGTTTTTCTTTGAAGATGTTTCGCTTCTCATCCAAGAAGCTTCTTCAGCTCCATAGACATGTTGAAGACATGTTCTTCACTCTGCTTCACTCATGTCCTCCCGTCAGACTTCTGGTATTTTACTAAGGCCTGGAACCTCTCTTGGTTGGATTGCCTTCCCTTAGTCATCTTTCTTCTTTGTTGACCTTGGACTGGACTGGGCCTCCCTTTGTTTCCTTGAGCTGAATGGATTGTGGGCGGAAAAAAAATATAATATGGGTAGGCGTTCCAAAATCATGTGGTCTGCTACGGAGCATGTCATAACCTTTCCCTTCCTCCATGCCAAGCCCACTTCTGCCTTCTGTCAGGCTTGTTAAGCCCTGATTTATATCGCCCTGAGAAAAAGGGGAAGCTGCCACTTCAGAATTTGTGGAGAACCACACACTGGGCTACGAGGCAACGTCCGCTGGCCCCCGTGCGCAACCTTGGTTCAAGGGCCAAGACAAATTGTAATCCACATTTTGGTTCGGTTTCCTGCGACGAACTTTCCCCAGCTTTTCCCTTTAGCTTTTCCCCTCCCCATCGGTTCGCATCCCCGTGAAACCAAAGTACAATGTCAACACAAAGGGAAGTCGGTATCTGGTGCCACCTCTGCTTTCCCAGATCTCTTGTTTCTGCTTCTCCAGGACCATGGGGTCCTTCAGATCTTCCAACAGTGCAAAAATATTTGACTCCATCAATCTTGCTTTGGGTTGTCCTCTTCTTCTCTTTCCTCTTTCTCTCCTTTCAGAGAAGAATCCTATAATGCCTTTCTCGGGGTAGAAAGGTACTATATGTCAGGATTCCGGCAGTTACCCCCATTTAAATCATGAGTCTCGAGTCCAACTTCCAAAACTTCAAAAGGATTTATTGGGAGTTACCATGTCTGGCACTGCCTGGGTGCAGCTGACTCTGAGACACATAATTCATTGTCACCCTTGACCCTGGTTTCCCTCCACTTCTCTGGGTATATCGTAATTCATATTCTCCAATGGGGCACATCCATAGCCAAGAATCATCAATCATGCTCTCCAGTTAGAATTTTGCACAGCAGAAACTTCGGTCACCTAGTTAACTATCTTTGAAAAACTATTTATGGAATGCCCTGTCTCTTTCCAAGCTGCCACACTGCTCCGCCTCCCTTTCTGTTGGCAACTCTAAAAGACCATAAAAATATTTTGAGTTGACACAATAGACTCCTCCAACCAGCTAGGTCTTCTTCATGTAATCTATCCAGACTATGAACCTCAAAAGATCTTATCTACCATAAGTAACAAAGGAAGCAGAGGAAATAGACCACAGCATGTTTTCTAGGCCATTTGGTTGACCTCAGGCTGGACAGCTCCTGAGACAGAAGATAGTCTTTTTCAGTTAGATATGGGACCTCCGTAACTCTGAATGGAGTTGTCCCAGGATGGTCTGTAGGGATTCTCAGTCATCCAAGTCATGGTTGTCCTGAAGGTGCTTTTTTCGAGAGGCAACTGGACTTTCTGTTTTTTTTTCTTTTTGAAGTTGTTTCACTTCTCATCCAAGAAGCTTCTTTAGCTCTGACTGGATGGTGGGGAATGGAAGGATTTATCCAGTAGCAGAAATTTTAAGTAGTTCAGGGAACTGGCAAACACCACCTCTGACTGGAGATTTTACAATATCCTTCCCCTCCAACGCCCACCAAGCCATGCCACAGAACTGGTAGTAAAAAAAATTGAATCTCATCACTTCTGACTGGTGGGGAATGGAAGGATTTATACTCCTTGCAGACAGCTGGTCATTTGCCTCCTTTTAGAGGGTTGTTGAGGCCACTTGGAGGTTTATCTGTGTCCTCAGGGTCAGCTGAGTGGTGCAAATGGTTCTTGCAGTCCCAGGCTGGTCATTTCCCCCATTATTAGGGCGCAGTGGAAGATGAGACTTGAGGAACGGGAGGTAACAGAGTTTAAACTCTCCACATCTGCATTTTCCCCTTTTGACACTTGAATCAGCAATTTTAAATCTGCTTGAGTGAGATCTTGGAAACAGGTTATGCCTTAATGCGAGGAGCCAAATCGTTCCGGCTTAGTTTCGGCCCGGGAGTTGAATATGGTGCTAATTAATCCTTGGTCCTTTGACCAAACGTAAAGTAACCATCCAAGTTAAAACGTTTGGTGGGCCCCTGGAACTTGGCAGGCCCCCTTCTCTCCCTCTCTCTCTCTCCAAAGAGCTGATGCGCCCCCTCCCCTCGCCGGATTCCTGCCTTCTCGCTTATTGTCCTCTCCATTTGATGTTCTCCAGGGCTTCCCAGGAAGCATCGGCCCTCCGGGAGAAAACGGCCCTGAAGGTATTAAGGTGAGGGGGTGCCGCAAAAGGAATGGCTTTGGGTTGGTTTTGGCCGTTGCAAAGGAAAGAGGTAAAGGGAACGGCAAGGGGAGGGACGGAGAGAACCACGGAGATCTCCGTGGAGCGTTCTGGCTGGGCTTTCAGGTTTCGTTTGGATTGTAACGGCTCCAAGAATGGGAGTTTCTTTCCCCATTTCTTTTTCGGTTGTTGTTCTCCCTTCCCCCCACCCACACCCCATACACACACTCCTTTGGGCAAGAGAATTGACATTGGATGCCGTCCCACAGCAGCGCGTGTTGGCAGCGTGCTTTCGCTCCGTGTTTTTGCAGGCCCACCGGGGTCTGTCTGCCTCTCTGTCTGGCTGAGCCTTTCCTCCTTCTGCCCCCTTTGCAGGGAAAGCCTGGTGCGAGAGGTTTGCCTGGTCCCCGAGGAATGCCTGGCCAAGAGGTGAGAGGCTGCTCCCTCCACGATGCGCATCTGTTTCCCTTTTTTATTTATGTGTGTGTGTTTGTGTGTGTGTGTGTATGTATGTGTGTTTTTGTGTATATATATATATATATATATATATA